TAGACACTCTAGCGATGTTAGCACTAAGGATCCATAGATTAAGTAACAGTAAGAAGTTTGTATACTTAGCTGAAAATAAATATGTTCCAAAGCAGTATTTCATAACGTTTCGGCGAGACAACAGATTATACGTAAGGAAAAAAAAAAAGAAGTTAAGTGAAGTGTTTTTCACTTTAGACTGTTTGTTTCTTAATCGAAATTAATCTAAAAACCTACTGCTTCTTCGTTTTAAGCAATCATTTCTTTTACTAAAGTAGTCTCCGCCTGGAGTTCATTATAAATCTGATCACGACTTATTTTGAGACTTACCTAAAAAGTTACTAAGTTTTGATATTTTTATGAAACTTTCTGGACCTTTAGAGTCAGGTGTCTTCTAACTATGGTAAATATTTCAAATTCATAGCTGGTTTAGTTTGAATAATATGAAGTTTTTAAGGCGATAGTTCAGTTGGATAAAAGCGTATATTATGGAACCGATATTCACTAAATTGCAAAACCTCAGCTTTTAATGCGATCCTTATGAAACTTTGAGGACCTTCAGTGTCAAGTATTGGCAAAATTAAAAAAAAAATTCAATTTCCTGCCTTTTTCAGTTCGAAATCTACGATGTTTTTAAGAAGAGAGTGCAGTTGGGTGGTATTCATAATGAGATCGATATTTACTATGATGACAAAAGTTTGAGTTTACGGCGATTTTTATGAAACTTTCTGTGGAAATTATAACTTTTTCGCTGCTTGAATTTGGAAGATACAATTTTTTTTAAGGAGGAAATGCAGTTGAGTAAATACGTTCATTTGAAACTGATATTTAAAAACCAAAAAAATTAAAAAGTCGGAGCATATTTATGAAACTTTCGGGATCTTTATAGTCAATTCTTTTGACTTCTTTCTATGAAACAGATTTAAATCTAAATATGATACAGATTTAAAATGACTAAAATTTGCCTCTACAGGCGCATCCATCCGTTATTTTATTAAATTTTATTAAGTGACTTGAAAATTTATTTTTCAGAATGTGATGTTCTTGATTCAAATCAATCGAATTATCTACTAAATTCACTGTTTTTTGGTGTTTTTAACGACTATTATATTTACCAAAAATTTGCTCCGTCCTTTTTAGTAAATTGATTTGATTGATGATTGATTTTTGATTAGAATAAATCTAATTTTGTACTAAATTCACTGTTGTTTACAATACTCTACAATCGTTTGCATCCGTTATTTTTTCAAGTGACGTGAATGTTTCTTCTTTAGAATGTGCTGTTCTTGATTGAAATAAATCTAGTTATCTACGAAATTAGCTGTTTTTTGTGGTTTTTTAACCACTATTGCCAAAGTAAGTTCCACCTGGAGGCGCGGGTAAATGCAACGAGTAACCCCCTCTACAATCGCTTGGTTTCGCTGTTTTTTTATTAACTTGAACGTTTCTTCTTTACAATGTGATTTTCTTGATTAAAAGCAGCCTATTTTTACTTACTTCACTGTTGTTTTTTCTTTCTTAAACTTGTTTTTTCTAAAATGAACTAAACTTTCACTGTTTTTGCAGGCAACCTAACTTTTCTTATTTAGAATGTAATTTTCTTGATTAAAAGCATCTTCTAATTATCTACTTAATGCACTTTTTTGGTACTTGAACAGTACCAAAAAACTTATTTTTTAAGTTTTTTACTTAATTCACTGTTGTCGTATATTTTCTAAACTTTATTTTTTAAATTAAGCTAAACTTTTACTGTTTTTTTCAAGCAACTCAACTTTTCTTATTTAGACTGTGATCTTCTTGATTAGAGGCAATCTAATTGTCTATTTAATGCACATTTTTTTGCTTTTTTTATCGACTATTACATGTACCTAATTGAGCTAATTCAATGGCTTATTATAGTCTGCCATTGCACGTTCCGCAATTTTTTCTAATTTAGAATAAAAAGATTTTTGTTAAAAATAATCTAAGTTTTCTTTTGTTTTTTAACTAACATGCTTGCATTTTTTTCACAACTTAAGTTTTTTTGTCTTTGGAATGTGCGTTTCTTTATGCAATCGTCTCATTTTTCTACCATGTTTTTATTTTTAACGGTTATTACATTTACTGGTTTAAAGTAAGCTCCACCAGGATGCGAAGCTAAATGCACTGTTCGACTCCCAACTCCAATCGCATGCTTCCGCTTTTTTTAACTTTAAAATTTGAGTTTTTTTCTTAAAATGAATCCAATTATCTGCTTAATCAACAGCTTTAGCTTCTTAACGATTATTACGGAATAACGGAATTTTCATGCAACAAGCAAAACGCACATTAGATTATTCGCGCTTTACCCTTGGGGCAATTTTACCTTAGAAACGCCAATATCGAACCAACCGGCTCACAGTCAAATGACTAGAAAATTGATTCCACCTGCCCATGTCATGAGGGCTACAGACAATCAAGCATTGTAAGTCTCATTTGCGTTAAATCGCCTCCTCAGTTCTTTAATGTTGTTGTTTGTGTGGCTCCAGATGGACGAAAATCGGCATCATCAAGGAACTGTCCTTGATGGCGAAGTCCGTAATCATATACGGAAGAGGTTGCTTCTTGAAGTTCCTCAACGTGAACACTGGAGAGGAAATGTGCCTGACTTTGAACGACCACAATGGGAATGGCGATGGCTTGAAATGCTACAGAGGCCATTCTTCGCTATATATTTTCGCTTACAGCGAATGCTGCCAGCGCCCGTTCATCTACGTGAAGAGCTATCCAGATTTCCAGCTGATAGTCAAGTTTGAAGGTAGGTTTCAACATTTCCGGCACTAATTTCTAATCTAATGATCCTTCCTTAGGCGAAAGGGAAGGATTCAAATGTTTAGCATTCTCAGACAGTTCGCTGTTGTTTTCCCTTGGCGAAATGCCCCATTACAAGGTGACTGCCTGGAACTGGAGAAGCATGGATAAGTTTGCGGAAAGCGCCAATGAGCTGCTTTTTGAAAACCAAATTATCAGGTACAAACAGAGGCTCAGTTTGGAGCAAATCTTGTCAAATTCGGTGCATTTCTAGATGCAGCTACGGCCGTCCAATGTACCTGGCCCAATTAGGAGTAGGCTCCACCAAACTGTTCATCTGGGACGTTTTCACCGTCTGCAAATCGACGATTTTCGACAAACATCAAGTGAAAATCGGCAATTTAAAGCCTGCACCATTCGAAAGCGTGGTGTGGTCCGTGGATGGGGTCGCCCTGTATATTATTGATAGAAATGGAAGCATTTACACGGTAAGGCTTTAAAAATCTCATGATAAGACCTGCACAAACAATAAACTTGTGATTAGTTGTGTGAAAACAAGGCTCTCATGAAAGATAAAAAGTGTTGTTTACTAGCTATAAAGAGTTCTTATCTCCACTATTTCTGCGAATTTCATAGAGGAATAGGACTTTCAAAGCACGATTATTTTAGTGGTTTTTCAATGTCTTTTCCGCCCCTGTTGGAACATATTTATTTCAGCTAAGTCCACAAACTTCTTACTGCTACTTAATCTACGGATCCTTAGTGCTAACATCGCTAGAGTGTCTAACACTCTGTGTATCTTAAGATATCATTATATGACTTAATCTAAATTAACCTAACTACCTAATCTAAACCTAAACCTAACAGCATCTCTTGCTTCCTATAACTAATTTAAAGTTAGCCCATCGTTTTCGATGTGGTACAGGAACTGGTCATCGCATGGGGTCCACGTCTTCTTCTTAGACTGTGTCCGCAGGGAGAGGTCTGCGGTCACAGTTGAACTTCTTGGTGCAAGAAACCCTGACGGTGGGATTCTTGCTGTGCCGGATCCTATCCAGGAACCCTGATGTTAGGTTCCGGATGTGGTCCAGCAGGTCCTCTGTATCCAGGTCTCTTCGTAGGGTGGTATTTCTGACGAAGTATGGGGCTTTGTCACTATCCTCAGTATTCTATTCTGGAATACTGCCAGTTTCTGCTTTTGCGGGGTGCTGGCTATGGACCACGCAGATGATTCATAAGTCAGCACCGGGCGTATCAGTTGCTTGTAAACTCTGGCCTTAGTTCGTAGGCAGAGTTTAGCTGACAGCAGAGGATAGCAGGCATGGAGCAGGAGTCTTGCCTTGGCGATGGTGTTTGCCATTTGGTCGTGCCATACTAGACGCTTGTCGTATGTAAGTCCAAGATAGGTTATCTTGGGCCTCCATGGCAGCTTCTGTTTTGCAAGCTCTAGTAGGCCTCTGGGTGGATTCTTCCTGCCTCTTCTAAATATTATGGCTTGTGTTTTTGCAGGATTGAACTCCATTTTCCAGTCCTTGCTCCATTTCACGATTTTGTTGAGCTGTCTCTGCAGTTTAGCTTGGATGGCAGGACCCCTCCCGACGGTAGTGAAGGCTACATCATCAGCGTAGATGTAGCCTTCTGTGTTCTTGTTGAATGGAAGGTCCGCCATGTAGATATTGAACAGGATAGGGGCCAGAACCGCCCCTTGCGGTACTCCTCCCAGCGATCTTACGTCAAATATGGCTTTTTCTTCTTTGGGCAGTAGCACCAGGACTACTGCTATCGGCTGGCCATTTTTCTTCCACCTCACAATGGTTGTTGGGTGGAATCCAAGTGCTGTTAGCTCTTCCTTGATTTTGGAGTCGCTCCATGATTCTATTACGCCTCTGACCACCACTCTCAGCTGTTTCTCCTCCTCCAGCTGGTAGGTGTGGTACTGGTATTTGTAAGCATCCAGTACCCTAATTATCTGCCTGTAGTCTTCGGCAGTAGGAGGGTGAGTTCTAACTCCCTCCTTGGTGGTCACTCCACATCCATAGTTTATTTTTTTTGCCATCAGTCGACGCGTGATCTCATCATAGTTGTCCTTCTCGCGAAGGACAATTGGAGGCACCTTTGACCTCCGTTGACTTTGCTGCTGGGCGGCAGGGGTGGCCTGCTTTTTCTTATCGTTGTTGTCTTCTGGCTGGCTGGTCCTAGTCTGGGCTCCTCTGCGAGGGTCCCTTCTT